ACAGTTGTGTTTGCACACATACTCATTTGTATGAATTTTTATGCATTTATATATGTATTTATTTTGTGTGTGTGGATTTCAGCTTGAAAAGTCAATGAAAACATAGTTTGAAAACAGAGGAATGAGAACACTAGGAGTAGATGCCAAAACTTTCTTTTTCTATTCATTCTAGCACTTGGTTTTGAGTTACATATTCATATATGTTTAAATCGCATTACCTACTCCAAAACGGTCACTCTTTCCTAGCTTTTCTTTGCTACTAATACTTCATCTGATTTCCTGTCTTGTGTCATGACTTTCCCTGCTATTCCAAGACTTTCTCTATTATTCTTGAAACAGAAACAATATCTGCAGCCCCAACACTACACTACACCCACAGAATTTGCCTTATCCAGGAATCTACCTGTAATATTTCGAGACTCCAGCAAGACAAGAAAGGATATCTCCTTGAACTGTTACTTTACATCAGTCCTTAACTGAACCACGCCATCTGAGTTCCCTTTGCAACACTGGTGAAGAAAGTCTTAATGTTTTCCCTCATAAATGGTTTCAGATGTAATTACCTTGGATATCTTGCCATGACCGTGCACTGTTTTGTGCTAAAATGTCTGTTATTTTCCAGGCTTCCTTCAAAACTGGTACAAAACATTTCATATTTATGAATATTTAATGTTTTTTTCAATTTTCTTAGCCAATGCTTATGGTTATTACAAGATAATCATCCACTTTGGGGAATGTTTCTGGTTACACAGCTTATGCTGTGGAAATGGAGATAACTGTGCTGGCCATCTCTTAGCATACCGCCCAACACTTGGATAAGCTGAGCTCATGGCTGGGGACAGTGCAGCCACTTTACTGCTCAGAGTGGTTCTCAGAAGTGATCTGACTCAGGCACTCTGCTGAGTCACAGATCCTTCCCTGCTTCCTCCTTACTTGCAGAAAGTAGTAGTTTTCTTTTGAACTAAATTAGCAGAAACATAATTACCTCCCACGCCTTTGGCACTGGCTTAAGCACAAAAATCTGTGTGTCTGTCAGGAGGAGTGGAAAGGATGGATGAGGTTGAAAGCCCTCCTCCCCCTTTTATTCCCGCTCATTCCAAAAGGTCATTTATATGAGACTGTGCCTGCTTATCTCGTGATTCAGGCAATATGATGGTGTTGACAAAATATAACCCCACGAAGCAAAAGAAGGAACAAACTCAGGATATGCTTTCCCTAAAGATCTGGAGAGCTTATATGACTAGAAGAAGAAACCACTCTCTCCAGCACACCAAATTTGATTCAAAATGAAAGGCATGTGGAAATGAGAGATGTAGTTGTGCTTGGAAAGGCCCAAATGTTTTTTCTGAGAGCAGCCTACCATTAGTTTCCCTGGATGCGTTCCACCAAGCAACAATGCTAAGTACCTTTTAGCAGCTGGGTCCAGTGCTCTTTTTTGTGCCATCTTGCTGAGCATTGGTCGAAATCCAAAGAACCTTGTAAGTACACAATGGGATGTGTAAGTAATCCCATTGCTTTCGGTGCAGATTCTTCATGCTTACAGATAAGTACATTCTTCAATAATTGCCTGAATTGAAAAGACAGCAACCAGCCCCTCACATGAATGTCTTCCTATGAGAAAAATACAGCACCATACAATGGCTCTGCAACACCTACATCATCCCTAGCAGTGTATATCCCATAGCTTTGGAGGAGCTGTGTTAAGGGTACAAGGTCTTTTCCTTCTCTCTTCCCCATCCTCCCTACTCCCCAGCCGTGCCCTAAACCTTTGGGTTGACTCAGTCCTCCAGGGCCTGAAAAGGGCTTGACCCAGAATAAAAAAACAGTGTTGTTCCTATGTAGTAAATATTTAAAATGTTTTATCAGGGTAAATAAATGCTAAATTCTGTGAGCCCAGGGAATGAAATTAACATGTTTGGCTTACTAAAACATTTATAGAGTCAATGTCAGCCAGCAGAACACAGCCAAGAGGGTTTTTTAAAGGTAAACTGTAATGCTTTTAAAATAAATACTGAGAGCTGTTTAAGATCTTCAATTATTAACAGAAGAAAAGCAGGGGCTGAAAAACGGCAAACAATCCCTTTTGTGGTGCTTTTGCTAACCTCTGCTCAGTTATCTCTTTGTCCAGCCCAGAGCAAGCTCCCCAGGGCAGATGTTGTGCCTTCTCCAATGTCTGGAAAGTGTCTAGCACATGCAGAGAGCTTCCACAAATGAATAAGTAAATGCAGAATGCCAGATATTTGAAAAACATTTCTTTCTATATTTACTTGCCAGGATATAAATTCGGAACTATGTGTTTATAGTTGGCTGGCAATAGCACTGCCAACCTTTGTGAGGCAGTGTGAAAATGCAGCTCTCCACCCAAAAGGTGGTTGTTCACATCACCTACATGGAATCCAAAGGCCAGATTTTGAGTCTGAACAGTTCACCATTCTGATTTAATTACAAGCTGCACAGCTCATTGCTATGAATGCCAGCTTTAGGTCTGTAAGGGAGAAAGTGCAAAAGGTGTATTACGGTGTACTACTGAGAGCATCAGGCAATGGGGTTTGCATTGCCGTGAGCACCCATATTGGATGCTATCTGTGTCATGGTGTGCAAAGGCCTAGAACATGTGTCAGCTGAGACAGAGAACTCACTTCATTTTAAGTCCAGCTGTCTTTTCTTCCCCTGCGCAGGAAGTGAAGGGGCGTGTAAACATGTGTGGCAGTTCTCACCATTGCTTAGAAAAGGTTTTTTGACTGCATGCAAGATGATTCACCTTGATCTATCTTGATCAGAAATGCATCTGATCCACCTTAGATCTGTGGTCCAGTTCAGACACTGATCTGTGGCTCTTGAATTTCAGAACACAGTTTTGACTTGTTTTTTGTTTTTTGTTTTTTTTTATAAAAAGAAAGTGTCTCTGTTTGTTCTGCCTATCTAAAGATCTTCCCTGGTGCTTTCTTATTCCTTCATCTCCCTGTTCTCTCTGGTTGTCCAGGCCCCATTCCCCATGCCACTTCTGCAACAGCTATTCATGTTGCAAGTGGCAGAGAATTATTATGTAACTTAATGACAGCTACTGCATTGCAGCCATAAGCTTGACAAGTGCGGATAGAGCATGGTCCCTTATCCTTCTATGGGTAGCATTTGATATGTCTCAGAACACATTCTATGATTTCTAAAGCTGCTACAGAGATACTGGTTTTAAACTTAAGAACCTACTTTCATGGTAACATATGTAAGTCTGCTAATTACTGGAATTATCTGGATTTGAAAACATCCTATCTGAACAATGTACTGCACAGCAAATACCTCAATTCATACTGACAGTATTCAATACCTCATGTCTTTTTTTACCTCATGGTTTTTTTTAAGGTTCATAACCATATGTAGTCTTTTAACTTCCTTGTACTTGTTTCCATTGTCTAGAGGAAAGTAGGACATTGTTTTAATTTTCTAGTGAACACCAGATTCTCTACTGGTATAAAGTACTGGAGGGACATTGAATGTGGACTGTAATTTACTTTGTGTACATACTTAGAATTAATAGGCTGAATGAGGCAAGCAGTTAAGAGAACAAGTTGATTGCCTCATGTAATCACAGTGCTATTTTCCCACTGAGATTAACTATCCAAATAAGTACCTCAAGGTAACTGAGCAAACTGAGCAACCAGAGCATCCCATTCTTGTCCAGGATTATTTTTGAACCTGACAGTATTTCCTTTCCTGTAAGGATCTCCTTAAGAAATCTGGCATATTTCATATATAGAATTTTGCCTCCTTTGGATGCTAGCATGAGCCATTGATGGGGAAGTGAACTGACTGCAAATACCTGAAGAACTGTTCTGACTGGAAGAAGCTAGTGGTCAACTTTAGATTGTGAGCAGTGAGCGATCTCGCTAGCCTGGCAGCTGATGCCACCCTTGATTGCATCTATTGCATCCCATCTCATAGCTGGGGAGCAAACACAAGGCCTTAGCTGTGAATTGATGAGTGGATTGCCTCTGAGTGAAAGTATTAAAATTTGAAGAAAAAAAAAAAAAGAAAAAGAAAACAGAAAGAAAAGAAAGAAAGAAGGGAAGAAAGAAAGAAAGGAAGAAAGAAAGAAAAAGTAATAAAAATGAGAACCCAAGTTCTTAGATGATAAATTTTCAAAGTTAATTGTTATCACATACTCTCTTGGCAGATGTATCACAGACATTTCCAACTCATGAATCATATTTTTCAAAAATCACAGCTAATACCAACTTCTCTGAGGAGATGACAGCATTTGCAGGAGACACTAATGGCTTCTGGCTCTCAGTCATTGCAAAATCATGAGCTCTGATTTGGCTATTTGTAGACTATTGAGTTCTAGAGGTCTCTCAATATTTCCGAGATTCATAGCTTCCCAGTGACAGTGGTTGCCATCACTGCCACCAGTGATGATAACTTTAAGACCTTGCAATTCTGAATTCTTAGTAAACACTTCAGAGGCTGCCTGGTTGTACGAAAGGAGACAGAGAAGAACACAAGTGTGCAGCTTGTATCAGGCTCACCTTTGAAAGAACTCAGAATTGCAGCACGGACACAAACTCAGTTTGCTGTCTCCCCATGTCTCTCTGTGGTGTGGCTCTGTGGCACCCCATCATTCAACCTCTTGTATATCTCACTGCACTTGTCTTGCTTCAGTTCTGAATGTTCTTCAATCGTCCCAAATTTTAACTCCTAAATACCATCTTGGAAACACCCTAGGCCTGACTTTCAAGAATAGCCAGAACACTTAATGTATTCCTCTCCAGAGTGATGGCATTTCAGTGACAGGCAATACCTGTCTTACTTCAGCCTTTAGTGGTAAGCTGCTGAGATGCTTGGAATCTTCTGGAGGGAAGATGCTTATATTATCAAGGTAATTAGTTCAGGTGAGGGGGTAAGAATTAAAAATGACATTATTGTTCAATTTATAGCCTTTCATAGGTGCTTTCTGTAAATTTTGTTCTATTCCTCATAAGTGCTTCCTTCTGCTCTCTCTGCAGGTCTCCAGGTGGTTTTAAATTCAATTATCAAGGCCATGGTCCCTTTGCTGCATATTGCCCTGCTGGTGCTGTTTGTCATCATTATCTATGCCATCATTGGACTGGAATTATTCATGGGAAAGATGCATAAGACCTGCTACCATGTGCAAGGGGGGCTGATAGGTAAGAGGAATGTTTGTTGGCATGTAGCCCTGTTCCTTTGTTTTCTGTCTCTTACGTGAAGATTTCTACCAGTGTGTTCACATTCTGACAGGAGGGAAGTTTCATGCAGCCATATGACAGTCCGTGTGTGCTGCTGAAAATAACAGCCAAATACTGAGCAACCACTTATTAGGATCCTGAAGTTCAAAGAGCAGGAGAAAGAGTGTTTTGGTGCTGCAAGTCTACTGTTGCAGAAAAATGAAATCTCTGGGATGAACAAAAACATCCTTTTTCACAAGAGCAGCCCCTCCATTGGTTGAATACATCAGTCACTATCCCTAATTTAATTTAATTTTAATCTTTACTGATAATCTGGGTGAGGGGATTGAGTGCACAGCCAAGAATTTTGCTGATTACATCAAGCTGGGAGAAAGTGTTGATCTGTCAGAAGGTAGGAAGGCCCTACAGAGGGATCTGGACAGGCTGGATTGCTGGGCTGAGGCAAATAGGATGAAGTTCAATGAGAACAAGTGCTGGATCTTGCACTTCAGTCACGACAATGCTATGCAATGCTTCAGGCTTGGGGAAGACTGACTGGAAAGCTGCCTGCAGGACAAAGATCTGGGGTGTTGGTCAATGCTTGGCTGAACATGAGCCAGCAGTGTGCCCAGATGGCAAAGGCCAATGGCATCCTGGCCTGTATCAGAAATAGCGCAGCCAGCAGGAGCAGGGAGGTGACCATCTCCCTGTACTTAGCTCTGCTAAGGCTACATCTTGAGTACTGTGTTCAGTTTCAGGCCCCTCACTACAAGAAAGACATTGAGACCCTAACGTATTTCCAGAGAACAGCAGCGAAGCTGTGAGGTGTCTGGAGCATAAGTCTTATGAGTAAGAGCTGAGGGAACTGAGATCGTTTAGTTTGGAGAAGAGGCTCAGGGGAGTCCTTGTTGCCCTCTATGACTCCATGAAAGGAGGTTGTGATAAGGTGGGGGTTTGCTGCTTATCTCAGGTGATAGCAATAGGATGAGAGGGAATGGCCTCTAGTTGTGCCAAGGAAGGTTCAGGTTAGATATTAGGAAAAGCTTATTCTCTGAAAGAGCAGTGAGGCATTAGAACAGGATGCCCAACGAGGTGGGGGAGTTAGCATACCTGGAGGTGTTTAAAGAAAGGGTAGAAGTAGTATTTAGGAAAATGGTTTAGCAGGCAACATTGGTGGCAGTTTGACAGTTGGACTAGATGACCTTAGAAGTCTTTTCCAACCTTTATGATTCTATGATAATTTCATTTATTTTCATCTTGAGCACTCCATTTTTGGCCAGTATGTTAAAGCTCCAAGAAGAACTGTCAATCACTTCTGAGTACAGTAGTGGACACTTTAATTTGGACCTTTGCCATACAGAATAAGAAACAAATGTAATTGCCTGCTCCCCTGAACATAGATACCTGCATCTGTTACAGATACAGCACAAGGCTCTGAAATCTGTGTATTACTCTATTTCAGGAGTTTTTTGTGCCTATAAGAGTCTTTGTTCTGTAATGTTTTTCATAAAGTCAAGCATTTAGACAAACGTAATGTAAGGGTGCTCAGATCTTTGGAAACACTTGTACAGAATAAAGGATGGATAATCAAGCATTAGAGTCTTACAGAGCTTCTTCTACTGAGCTATTGATAAAATGCCACATAGCTTCTAAACTCTGAAAGAGCAGAGCTCCAGAGACTTGCTGCTATAATTTAGTATTTCCCAGACGCATACTGTCCTATCTCCAGAGCACTGAAGCCTGTCTGCTGCAGGGTTTCAGCCTCCTTCAAGAAGGTGACAGTAACTGATGCAGGTCCCTTCCAAGGTTAACCCTATGGCCAAGTGACTGCCAGATGAAAGCACTGGTTGTAACTTGCAGCCTAAAGACTTGAAGTAATGTTTCGTCTCATACTGAAAGGTGTTATTTCTTTCTCCTAGGAGGAGAAGTGTTTAATAATAATAATAACAACAACAGCAATTTTTAAAAGTGTATTTTAGTTTTGACTGTAAAATTTGACAGCTTAGCCATTTTTTTTCTTTTTCTTTTTTCTTAAGAAAAGAAAGAGAAGCACAACAAAAAAGCCCTTTGAAAATAATAGTTTCTCGTGCATTTTAAGAGAAGTCTATCAAATTCATTGCAAAATATACTTGTTAAAATCAGCTAGCCTTCACTTGCTTATCACTACGTCAAACAGCAATTAATTCTCTTCATCTCTGTTCTCTCCCTCCTCTCCTTAAGATACACCTGCAGAAGATGACCCATCTCCCTGTGCACCCCAGTCTGCACATGGGCGGCAGTGCCAGAATGGAACCGAGTGCAAGGCAGGCTGGGAGGGACCCAAGCACGGCATTACAAACTTTGACAATTTTGCTTTTGCCATGCTGACAGTGTTTCAGTGCATCACAATGGAGGGATGGACAGATGTACTCTACTGGGTACGTATCCGAAAATGAGAACTGAAAGGCCTGCCCAGGCTCTCCACGTTTTTGAAACATTGGCCATTAGCTTGAGCTTTGTTTTTTATGCTTGTTCTTAATAGTGAAGGCTTGGTTGCTAGTATGGAGCTTTAGTTAACTCAGAATATGGATGAAATGTGAGGGTTTAGATGATACAGTTAAATCAAATGTAAATACTGATTTTAAACTGATGTTATAATGTTGAAAGATGGCACAAGGCTTACTAGCTGGCTTGTGGCTTATTGCTCTGAAGATTTGCAGTGTACCTTTGTTGACTAGAATGTCATATAATGGCCCTTTTTGTGGGCTTACTATCTCATGCATCTCCAGATTTGTTATATAGAACTAGATGTTATATCCATGGCATTAATGCAACAAAGGCACTATGCTGATCTGCTCATAGGTCTCACAAACCCTTCTTCATGCCAGCATGACTCCTGATTATAACTTTTATCCTAATACTAATTCTTTATTCTCTCCTAACTTTGATACTTGTGTAAATCTTGGTTATATATTTAACAAACAAACAAAATCATAATCTTTAATCTAAATGTAGAATTTTAAATGAAATCTCATCTTTCCCTTTACCTTAACTCTGAAACTTTCAATGCCTTTAGTTTCTGCCTTGTAATTCCTAACATGTTGGAGGATTCAGTGGAAACACAATTAGGCTACAGGAGTTAAAATCAGATTTGGCCTGCATTTGTAAACCAGATATAAACACGATTAGATTCAGCTCTCGCAGTCAACTTTTGCACAGATACTTTCTGCTCCAGGCATTTAATTCACACACAGTTCACTCCTGACTGCACAAGGCTAACCTAGGCTATTTTTTGACAGCTGGAACGTTATGACACTTGGTTCTCCAAGATGGTAGGAATTCCAGTGCATGATGGAATTTAACCTGAGAAGACCCAAAACACATGAAAGGGTAATCTGGACTGAAGCCTGACTGAAGCAGGCTTGCACCGTTAATCAACATTAGCTTCTCCCTTAAACAAGAGCCTGAAGCTGTATTCTACCCAGCATTGGTTTAGGGTTTACAAGATTTTACTTTGAAGATTTGGCTTATCTGCAATAGATATTCTTTGTGTGGAACGGCTAACAGTTGTCCTCTTATCCTCTTAAATTTAGATTAGAACTGTGACTCTAGCTTCCTTCTAATGCCTGAGATAAAGGGCAGAGATCAAACCACAAGGAGAGTCCAAATCACAGAACACAGAGATTGGCTTCACTTGAAGAGAGAATATGAATTAATAAAATAATAAAGAAGAACAGAAGGAACTGGGCAAAACTATTCTACTGCTCAACTATAGCTTTTATATAATATACCTGTCTTTTTATCACATTAAGTTCACGTTCCACCAATATCCTAGCACCATCTGTCTTTGTGTAATTGAGAGGATTTATGTGAAGTTCAGGGGAAATAGAGAGTAAAAGATATCAGAAATAAACACAGAAATAGCTTTGGCAGTGCATGCCATTTAGTATTGCAAAAGCTGACAACAAGTTATCATAATTTTCTTTGAAGACACGTTTTGCAAAAGATCTTGCCAATCCCCACAGTTTTGATTCTATGTGTCATTTGTATGACTGGATGTGAATCATTCAGAACTCGGTTATCAGTTATCTAATATCAGAAGCATATACTCATTGCTAAATGTTTTCCACCATCACTGCTGCAGATGGCTTGACTTTTTTATGGTGTCCCTGCAACAACCTGAATAATAGCTGTTGGCTTTTGTCTGACATTCAGCCAGCTTTTTCACCAAATTACTGAGTTATTTTTCCTTATGAGACAGTATGGCAAACTGAGAACTGACATTAATATAGACTGATTATCATTATATTTAGGGGCATCTGCATAGTTAGACTTTTAGGCTATGGCTTTGACAGAACACTTGCTTTAGAAACAAAAGTAATATTTTCTATCTTCAGTTCATAGTTATTCCTAGAGAACACTACAAAATAGACTTAGCACTTCAGTCATAATTTTGGTAACCAAGGAGGAGTAAATTTAGAAAAATTAGTAAATGTAGAAAATTATAATACAACAAACAAACAAACAAACAAAAAACCCAACACCATATCATCTATGCTTCAAGGCTGTGAAGTACCAAGTTTGAGTAAACACCTGAGCACCTGAAATGACAGACGCACTCACTTCAGCTGATGTAACCAATCCTAAGAGCACTGCTGTCCCATGTCAGGTTTTGCCTCTTTGCTTTATAATGATAGAAGTAGATGGAAGTCATCACTGACCAGTATTTGCTGTACAATGGAGTAGATATCTGAGATGTGATGAGCATTTCTTTCAGCAAAGAGGAAATGGGGGCAAATGTTAATTGGAAAGTTAATACAGGGCACACTTGTGAGAAGTACTGTGGGTTTAATATTCATATGTAGAAACTATATCTATGCATTCACACTGCAATTCCATGTGTGGATGTTTCAAACTATTTCTGATGTGTTTTATACAGGAGGGTATATAGTCCATGCAAAGGGAATTCCAGCTTAAGCTATCCAGATAAATAGAAATAGTACTTCTAGATGGTAAAGAATAGAAGAGGTGCAAAATTTCAATTTGAGAGTGAATAAAAAGAAGTAGTTAGTAGTACAGGATGTAAATATGCATTCTTAAACTATGTGCAAGTCATCATTTCCTTAGTGAAACCTGACTCATACATAACTCCACTTCCAAACCCTTGCATTTTTCTGCCAAGTGGATTTGGGGTTTATGACCCACTGGAGGCTGCCTCTCAAGAGGGCAGAGATAGGCTGTTCTCTTCTCAAGCTGATAATATTTTTGAAAGATCCCTTGTATCTACAGTGAGGTCATAGAAATTAAACTTGCTTTATTAGGAGATACACTTAATGAAAATAAGAAATACAGACTTAGCATCTCCACTCTCCATCTGCATTCTGAGAGAGAAATTCGGAATAAGAAAGGATTGTCTGCAATTCAGACAATTTTGTGTCTGAAGTTAATAGCTGAGGCTTTTCAGAAGTCATTCCTTAAACCTAATGATGTAAGCTAATGGATTATTTTTAAAAGTGTTAAACATTGAAAGTTTGAGCTGACTGTTAGGTTTTTAGCTCCTCAGAAATTCAGTGGAGATACCAAGTTCTGGTTCTGATCCTGCTGAGTTGAATGGCCAATTTCCAATTAATTTCAGAAGGTCAAATTCTCACCTTCTACTTTGTTAAATCTTCATTATACTGTGTAGATGTTCCACTTGCAGTCATATGTACATGAAGACTAGATAGATAGATGGCTGTCCAGGGCCTTTCTGTCTGTTGTGCTGGTCTTCCAAGGACATACGTGTTGATGTAAGGTGCTTTCTTTGCTCTCTCCTTAATTATACCTGAAATTTATACCTTGACCTGAAACTCAGCAGAACAGATAAGGCTCTGGCCTGACTTACTTAGCTGGAAATGTTTTGTCAGTGAAGCAATTTCATTGGTTTGAGTGATGGGAGCTTAGCATGTTTCAGCATGTTGCCCTGGAAAATAAAACTATTAATGTCATGAAACTCATGTTTGTCTTATACCACACTTTTCAAGGTTAAACTTGCATGTTTAAAAACTAGAAAGCTGTATGACTTGCTGCCCTGGACTCTTACTCCACTGAAGTAGCTCTTCAGTTTTTACCTTCAGTTTCTTGTTTCCTTCTTCATGCTTTCCTTCATGTCTCCTTCAACTTTCACATTTGTAGTGAAGCCTGTCTCCTCTCTCATGGAGTAATATTTCCCAACCTGATTCAAAAACTCACAAAGAGATAATCAGAGACAGGAAAGCAATGAACTTGTATTCCCTAGAAGGACTTGACATCAATGAGATCAATACATTTTCCAATCTCCTCTCTCATTCAGCAGATAAGAGGTGTGAATAGATTGACTTCTTTTGAAATGTGAAAGAAAAATGTTAGGGAAAAACAGTTGGACACTGCTGTGGTGTCAGGTAGATAATTGCTTACATGGAGACAATTTTTTATATAAAACGAGTACGTTGTATAGGATGCAAATCTTTGCAAAGCAAACTTGTTTGCTTTATCCTGAAAGAATGATCTTTGTTGAGGAGAGAGCTAAGTACTTGTAGGATTTTATCTCATACACTGCCACAACCTTCCCAGGTTTTCTTTGTTCCACTATAACTGCTAGGTGGCTTTGTCTTATGCACAGTCAGATCACAGAATTATTTGAGCTTCACAGTTACTTCTACGCATAATTTTTCCTATGTATTGGAGAAATTATTTTCAAGACCCTTCTTAATGTGTGATCAGCCATCCTTGGCTGCGTGCTTGCTTGTGAAGACACCAGCATCCATTTTTGAAGACCGCTCAATCTTGGGAACTTTCAGCAGCAGATGCAAATCCAAATGTTACACACAGAGTCATTTGGTATTTAGTAATCAGCCTCTGCTGCAGTCCCTTATTCCTTATTGTCTTGTTGACTAAGAAGGGAAATTAATCCCTGTGCAGTTTTTAACAGCCTATTTAGGAATTTGTAGGCATTTGTTGGGTTCCCTTTATTTATTTATCTATTTATTTATTTATTTATTTATTTATTTATTTATTTCAATCTGAGTAGATTCTGTTCTTTTAACCTCCCCTAATGGGACTCTCTTTTAGTTATTTTTGATCAGTTTGTTACTGTCCTTCAGGGGAAGCTTCAGTTTTGAGTTAAATACAGCTTGGACTATGCTATGTCTTGAGAAAGGCTTTCCTCTTCATGTGAAATCTGCTTTCTGCATGCAAAACTGTCCACTGCCACCTCAGTCCTAAGTGCCTGGTCTCTCCACTCCCTTGCAATTACATGATTGTATACATAAATGAAGCAGGATGTGCAAAACAGACAGGAATATTGTTGCATTGAGCTGTTCATACTGCTGGGTAATGGAGAACCTCGCCCTGGGTTGTTCTGCACACAGCTTGGCCATTGCAGCTTGAATTCTAGGATGGAGTAATTCTACTTTCTCTA